TTTTCTAGTTTAATGAAAATAAGAAAACCCGTTTATTCTGATCTATGTACTGGAAAACCTGGCTAAAATATAAGAGTTTACTATGAGCATTATTCCCTTAGTGAGAAAAATATGATAACCATAAGTAAGTGGTTCTGGATCTCAGAACACTAAGGGTTTTCCTTTCCCCTTCATCAATTCATTCATTTAACAAACATTTACTGAACACTTACTATGTGCGGGTCCTGCTCTAGACAAACCTCTATCAGGCTGCAGAGGTACAGCAGCAGGGCTCGCTGTGCAGAGGTTCCAGGTTCCACGTTCCACCCTGCAAACTGCTCTTAGAGTTCCTATCAACATGTTTTGTAACATGGCTATTTTGGCTACAACTCTGTAGTGTCTTTTCTCTCATGCTCTTCCAATAACATCTACCTGGGCTCTGCCACCTGCTCTGCTGGGACCTCCCCCCAGGCTCCTGCTTCACGCTACCTAGTTGAAGTTTCTGGGTAGCCACACTTTCCTGTAGTACAAGATAGTTCTGTAAGCACTCACTACAGTTTTGGGGAACCAGAGACTGTTGACTCGCGTATGACTGGTGGAAACCCACCATGTACCCAGCTTCTTCCTTCACTATCTGCATGAACAGGACATCCTGACAGAGAGGACAGGCAGAGTAACACAGAAACAACAGCCATCTCGGGGTCAAACAAGCCTGGCCCTTCGAGTTGCTCCCTTTAGCCTTCATGGCCTTACCTAGAAAACAGAATAATGTCCAACAGTGTTATTCTGAAAACTCAAGGAGACAATTCATTCAACAAATATTCACCAGGTGCCTCATTCTGAGAGTAACGCAGGGGAATCACTGTAGGGTCTCCAACAGCAGAGGTACCATGATTAGGTGTGAGCTCTGGGACTCACACACTGGCTGCAGCACGGAGAATGAACGAGGGAGGGAAACCAGCCAGGGACGTTATTATCAGAAGCAAGCGCAGCCGTCATCGAAGGCTGAAGAGAGCACAGGGATGTGAGACTAATACATTCGTGTCAACAGGAAAGGGTGGCAGGCTGCATGTGGGTGGTGGGAGTGGAAGGTGCAAAGGAATAGCTGAGACTCTCACCTGGGTCTCCGAATAGATGGTGGTGCCACTAACTGGGAGAGGGTACAATGGGAAAGCAGTGTGTCTGGTGGGAAAGATGACAAATTCTGTTCTACCTGGGAGAGTCTGAGTGCCTGTGGCACTTCCAAGTGGTGATCCTGCTAGGTGGCCAGGAGCACGGGTTTGAAATAACGCAGAGGAAGCTCACAGAGTTGCAGATGCAGAACCAGTGGCTACGACTGCACAGCCCTAGTTGGTGGAGCACACCTCTGCTTCCCCGCTGTCTGGGCATATCCACGCTCAGGGGCCACCAGCCGGCCATGCCGGTGCAGGACCAGCCACTATCGCTCGGAACTGTTACACAGCCACCAGCCCTCCCTGAGACCCTGTTCAGACTCGGCTACTCCTCTCAGTTTTCCAAATGCTGTTTTAGAAAGGTCACTCAACCCTTTCATTGCCAGTGGTCTGTGTCCTAGTTTGCCCCTGTGGTTTCTTAGAACCTCAGAGTTGGGCACTTCACACCGGTCAGAATGGCTGTCATCCAACCCACAGCTACAAGTGCTGGGAGGATGTGGAGAAGAGGGAGCCCTCGTGCACTGTTGGTGGGAATGTCATCAATGCAGCCACTGTGAAAAGCAGTGTGGAGGTTCCTCAAAAAAGTAAAAACAACTGCCGCATGACCCAGCGACCCCAGGTTTCTAGGGTGCACGACAAATGGTGGCACATCCCGGTCTGTCCCTTTTTCTTCTACAGAATTTTTCTCTGCCTGTGGCTGCCACTGTTCTCTCTTCCTCTGGTGTAAAAATACTTCTTTGTTACTAGTTGGCTGATGACAAATTAGTACCAAAGAATAAGCAGAACTGCTGTTGCTGCTACTCCTTCCACTGACAGGAGATCTGACCCCAGCAAGTCAGTGTCAAGAGCAGCCGGGAGACAGTGTGGAACAGCAGCTCCCCTTCGGCAGGAGCGCAGCTTGGGACCTCCTTCATGATGGTGCCCCTGGCTGGTCTCATTTTTAGGGAAATAGCACCGAAAGGGACGGAACTGTATTTGAGCTTCCTAGTTCTCCTTTCAAAGCACCCTATGTGGATAGGTTCACGTCTTCAAAGTGATCCTGTGCACTCCCCTTTTCTTATGCAACCTTCAAATCCTAGAGATGGAGTTACCATGTAGAGAGAAATACCTGCATTCTCCAATTCTTACATTTGATTTATTAAAAATCTAAGCATTTCTAATTCCTCACACACTGACCACCAGTGTGAGCCACAATCTTCTGTTTAACAGCTATTGAAAAAATAACTGTGGCTTACCACAGCACCTTGAAGGGTTGTTTTTTCTATTACTATGCTAAAACCTATCACCCACTATGTTTAGAACTACCTTTAAAAAAAAAAAAAAAAGCGAAATACTTTTAGGTCCAGTCACCCTGAAGCTCCTGCCCTTGGTTTGTTAGTAATTCCACTTCAGACAGGATGCATTTCATTTGAAAAGAAGACACTAAAGAAGCTCCAAGAGTCTATTTCTCTGAAACCATTTTATGAAGCAATAGTCAGTGTTTTTTTTTTTCCCTAAGAACTCACAAATGTTTTCGCTATAAAGAAAATGTGCATAATTTTAAGAAAACACTATTTTAGACTATGTTTTAGAAAGATTTTAGCAAGAAAGAAAAGTTAGAAAATTTCATTGCCCTTAGAATATTTTGCTACAAAGAAACAAATGATGGTCAAGGTGATGTTCCACGTTAGTCTTTCTCACCAGAGTGCAAGTGCACTACTTAATAATCACCCTTTACCTTGGTCTTCCAACTTTCCTTCCAGAAAATCCCAAGTAGCTTATTAACAACTTGCCTTTCTTTTTTCTGAACTTTCTTAGATGACCTCTCACTTAAACTCCTTGGGTGTTTTTGTATTGTTTTCCAGTAATGTTACTAGTTCTATAATATGCTGATAGAGGTATGAAGTTGAGCTAATCATCTGAATTCACATGAATCATCAAAGCAAGCCAGTGGAACAATATTAAAAAATAAATCTTAATCTCCAGCTTAAAATCTGCATGGCTAACCATGCAAGGAAATGATTTATCACATTTGTTTGGGATCGTTGGTTCAAATCCTTATGGCAGTAAACATCACATCTCCTTTGAATAAAACAATATTTTAACTACATTTATAACTTACAAGATAACTAAAATGACCTTGGGAATGACAATCTGTTATAGATACGCTCTAGATAGAGTAACAAATCACAAAGCACTAAAAGGTTGATAACAAGGGAAGCCAGACATAAACATTCAGATTATAAAACTAGGTTTCTCTGGGGTCCAATTCACGATAACAAAAAGATCAAGTCTAAGGAACACAGTCCAGTGATGGTGATGATGATGATGATGATGATGATGATGATGATGATATCAGTGATTGCCACTCTGTGATGACCTCTCATGTGCCAAGTGTTGTGCTAGACGCTTTACATATTCTAAATAATTTAATCCTCAAACAGTCCTGTACGGCTATATTACTGGGGAATATATGTACCTTGCCCAAAGTCACAATGACAGTAAGTGGCAAAGCCAGAATCAAAGCTGAGGACAGTCAGATCCTGAAGTACAAAATTGCCTCTCAATAAAATGGAAATAGAAGAAAACTTCAATAATATACAGATCTTTAAAGAAAATTTGATTTCTAGTTAGAAGGAATGTCGTGTATCCAGATGAATCATAGTTCCTGTGGACTGCAGCAAGCACGGAAACCCTCCCCACCGTACAGTCCCGCCACAGCTCTTCATGTCTACCTTGGACTCCACACGACTCTTTCTGGTGAGCCATCTGTCCTCCAGACCCACTTATCAACTAAAGACCTAAAGGCCATGGAAAGTCACTTTTGTATTAGTAAATGACTCTCAACTGGAAGAACAGAATGCTCTGGCTCTGCCATGGGGAGAAGACGACACACGTGCACCCTCATTCCTCCGTGAGAGCTAACCCCAGCTTCACCACAGTATGGCGTCTGAACATTCGCACCAACGATAGGTTTGTTATCGCTTGTTACTGGGTTAAGCAGGTTACATGTAAAACGTGCACAGACATAATTAAAAAAATCTTTGATCTTTTCATCAAAAGAGTAAGTAATATTGATTTTGGCTACTGTGATACATATACTGTATTGTCATACTGCTTTGCATTTGAGATTACCACACTGCAATGATTATTCTTCATTAAAGAAGGCTTGTGGCTATGTAATTTCACTGTGGCTCTAGGCAATGGCATCCTTTCTAAAGAATTGGTTGAACTTGGTGTGAAGTTATTTCATAAAATATTCCTATTCTTTACATAAAAGAATCATTTCATATAAAATATGATCTTTTAATAATCATGTCCTTTATAAAATATAAATTTTACCATCATGGTCTTTGATCTTGTAAAGCTCATAGACAGAAGTATCACTGAGAACTATGTAAACGGGGAGAGTAAATGATTTTCAAATGGAATAAGAAATAGCTTATTCCATTTGGCTCAGCAGTAGAGTGTCAGCCCTTGGACCAATGAGTCACAGGTTTGATTCCAGTCATGGCCACGAACCTCGGGTGCAGTTTATCTCTGGCCCTGGTCGGGGTCGTGCAGGAGGCGGCCAGCTGATGTGTCCCTCTCATGTCAATGTTTCTCTCGCCCTCCCACTCTGTCTGAAGATAAGTACAAAAATATCCTCAAGTGAGGATTAAAAAAAATTTTTTTTAAAGAAATAAGCTTCAAATTTATAGGCCCACTGTTTTTCTGTTAGTATTGATTTTGTGAAGCCAAAAAAAACCAAACCTCCCAAATCTTGGCACTGTCCCACTCTGATAATGGAGACAAATGTATACATAACTGTACCACCAGGAAGGATGCTCATTAGCGTTACAAGGAAAGGAGAAGTGGCGTGCTACTGACCCCTAGGCGGTCCGGGAGGCTTCAGGGAACCTTGTCATCTGAATCCATCTCTGATGAGTGGGCAGGAGCAGAAAGCAGTAGAGGAAAGAAGGGTAGGCAGGGTATAAAAGGTGTGCTCCTGGGACCAGTCTCAACGGCGAATCTTCATTCTGTAAGAAAAGAAGGACTACAGGTTTTAAGCTAAAGACGGGTAGGGTCAGAGCTATGAGGAGTTCCCGAAGGGCACTGTAAAGAGGACATAAGGTCAAGAGAAGATGATGGCTGCAAAAGCACTGGTGAAGTCACTCCAGCGATTGGTCTGTCTGTCTGTCTGTTTCACGGAGGGCTGTCATGGGCTCCTCCAGGCCAGACACCCGGTTTTCCACGACTTTACGTATCCCAAACCACACATGTTAACAGGTGCTGCTGACTGGTGGGCGAGAGGGCATGAGTGCTTGTACTTGCTCGTGGTGGTGGTGACAGAAACGAGAGGCCCTGTAACTGAGGCGGCTGGGAAGAGATGATAACTAGCTGGATGCTGATCTGAGGGAAACAAAGGAATAAAGCATTATTCAGTTTACCCCAACAAAAATTTATTGAGCCCTTACTATGTGCCAGAAGTGTGATAGATATTAAATATACAAATGTGGACTGATATCTGGTCCTTACTATCAAAGACCTAGGAGTGACAATTAAGTAAATAGATAAATAAAAATGTACATAAATGAAATAATATGCAATATTGTGTACACATATATGCAATAATGTGCATACAAAATTCACATATATCAAGAAAGAAGGAATCTATTTTGTCTGGGGAGAGTGAGAAAAGACTCCAATGAGTGAATGATGATTGAGTAGGATTTTTAAGAATAAGTAGGCATTTTCGCCCTGGCCGGTTTCGCTCAGCGGTTAGAGCATCGGCCTGCGGTCCAGAGAGACCTGGGTTCGGTTCCCGCTAAGGGCACATACCTCGGTTGCGGTTTGTCCCCAGCCCTGGTTGGTCGTGAGGGTGGCAGCCACCCGATGTGTCCCTTCACATCGATGTTTCTCTCTCTCTCTCTTCCTCTCTCTCCCTCCCGCTCTATCTGAACAAAAAATGGAAAAATGTCCTCGGGTGAGGATAAAAAAAAAAAAAAGAATAAGTAGGCATTTTCAAAGTTAGGAGGTACAGGAGATGATCTCGTACAGAGGAATTAACCCCTACAAGTATGTGGAGGTCTCAAAACCTGTGTGTGTGTGTGTGTGTAAGTATTTTGGTTATTTACTGAAAAGCATAAATCACAAAAGGGAACTGGGAATTGATGGGAAATGAGATTGGAGAGCTGGGTAAGGGATAAACATTCTTGGCATTACAAGCTAAGGAGCAGGAACTTTATTATGTGAATGGACTGGGAGTCGCACAACAGCCGACAGATCCACACTTTAGAAAAGGACAGATGAGAAGCATGTTGATGAAAGCTTGGCGAATAAATGGGTCGAAGGAGTAAGGAGGGAATGGACATGGCAAAGAGGCTGTTGCAACAGGTCCGATAAAAGGATTGAAATCCTACTAAGACAGTGATAATAGAGAAAGGACAGAATAAAATTAAGAGGTATTCAGGCAATAAAACTGGACAAACTCAGTGACATGGGATGTGAAGCAGCCAACTCCCTTTTTTATTGACTACTAGGTTGAGAGTTGTGGCACCCAGTGAAAGTTCAGTTTGGAATAAGCAGAGCTTGAAGCATCTGCGACAAGTCCAGGGTCTCTACTGGGCTTTAACAGAAGCTGAAATGTATGGGACTCAGGAAATGTTAGTGCTAATATCCAAGTTACACTCTGAAAGGATGACGATGACATTAACCTCAATATGGGACACAGGGTAGATATGCAACTGTTAGGATAAAAATGACACTTTAGGGCTTTTGTGCACTGAGTGTGACTAGCTGGTGGAATAGCCATGTGGATCTGTCCAGGTGTTAGAAGTGTGGTGCTTCCACCATACAGAATACTGCAGCCTGTGAAGGGGACAGACAGCTGCACAGTCATCACAGTGATGTGGCTTCCTGACGATCCACAATGAGGAAAGACACTCGTGTGTTGTTATGAAGGGAAAAAAGTTGTAGAGCAATATTTAATATGATCCAACTTTGTTATATATATGAATATATCTACACATGACTGTATCATGTCCGTGTATGTAAACACAAGTGCGCGCACACACACTAATACAGGAAAGTGAACGGGAGGAGGGAAGACAGCTAATCTTTCACTGGATAGTCCACTGTATTTTTTATATAATCACAAAGGACACTCACTGGTTTTTTTCAGGGTTATCAAACAGCTGTGGGGAAATAAGCTTGTCGAGGGCAGTAGAGAGGGAGGAAAGAAGTGCCAGCGCCTGAACCTGGGACGTGTGTTCTAAGCACAGTCAATACCAGGGGGCTGGAGGGACTCAGGCAGAAGGTGCTCAGGCAGCAGGTCCAAGATTCCCAAAGGGTGGGTGGACCCATGACCCAAAAGCCGAACGGGGTGGGGAGAGCAGCAAGCTTCGATCAAGCAGTGTCCTGGGAGCCAGGTCAGACGGCATCTGGGGAAACGAGATTAAAATGAGGATAAGGAGGCAGCTGGGCCGTTAGCAGGGAGAGTTTCAGACACAGGGACACTGGAGTGTGCCTGTAACCGAAGGCCAAGAGCACAGCCCGTGTTCTGATAAAAGCTGTGAACATAAAAGGGAGAGGCAGGAACCATGCTATTTCATGAGATGTATTTAAATTCCCTTTAAACAGGAGTTCATACTGTCTATACTTTTATATTTGATTTCAAAACCAAGTATGCTTTTGTTGACATTGGATTACAAAGACTCACACTGTGAGGGGGCTGGGGGGGGGGGTGAGGACTATATTTCTAATTCCAACTTTGCCATTTTTCAGACGAAAACAGGAACCGGAAAGAGGGGCCGGGCAGACTGTGAGGAGGTGCTCGGCGGCCAGACAGCAGCCCTCGCCCTCATGATGCAGTCTTCTAAGGCACACCTCACACAGAAACCACAACCAAATCCGTTGGCAGCAAACTGACTCCACCCAAAGGTAGGTTCCGAAATACATTTACAAACAGTGCGACTGCAGTATCACAGACCTCTTTGTGCAGGATTGAGACTATTTTCTGCAAGTTGCTGATATCTTGGCTGCATACACACACACACACACACACACACACACACACACACACACGGGAACCCTGAAAATGGCCGTGTAAATGTAGATTTGTTATCTGCTTAGGGATTCCAAAGCAGCCCTTAGTCCCCAGACAAGTTTCCTTCTTATCACCCACCAGAAGAGTTTTCGACACTGACATGTGGTGAGGAAATGCATGGTAACTTTACATTCTGAATGCTGGGAGCCTAAAGAAAAGGGACGACCTATCGGGTGCACTGCCAGGGAAGACAGTACAGCAGGGAAGCAGAGAATTCGTTCTAAATCTAACTAGACAAGATTTTAAGATTTTCTGTGCAGCTGAATTTAGATTATTTACCATTTGGGGTTATACATGGTGCTGGTAGAAGGTTGACTATATTTACCACAAAGTTATTCTATTAACTTTCCTCCCTAAAATATAGCAATCTTATTTCATATCCTGCTTTCATCAATTACAGACTATGGGACTTGGTGAATTTGCTTCAGCTTTCTGTGTCTGTTTCCTCCTGCATAAAGTGTGGGCATGACAGTACCTACGCCCCACTGCTGCTGTGAGGGTTACATGTGGGTACTTAGAGCAGTGCCTGGTCAGGCCGGTGTGGCTCAGTGGTTGAGCACTGACCCATGCACCAAGAGGTCACCAGTTCGATTCCCAGTCAGGGCACATGCCCAGGTTATGGGCCTGATCCTCAGGGGGGCATGCAGGAGGCAGTCAGTCATGTTCTCTCTCATTGATGTTTCTATCTCTCTCCCTTTACTTCCTCTCTCTCTAAAATCAATGAAGGAAAAAAAAAAGTGCCTGGCACACAGCCAGAGCAAACCAATATGACTTCTTCTCACTATTCCAAAAAGAAGGACCAGTGTGTGCAACAGCCCGAGGCAGGAAAGATGTGTGACATTCACTAGAGAGAAGCAAGATCAGAGTGGCTAGAGCGGTGGGCAGAGGCGAGCTTCGCGAGGTGAAGCTAGAAACATGGGCATGGTCAGATCATGTGAGGCCCATGTTCAGAGCCAAAAGCTAGGATTTTTTTCTTTTTAGTGAAATGAGAAGCCACTGAAGGACCAAAGCAGGAGACGGATGCTACTGGAGTTCATGGAGAGCAGAGTGGAGGGACAAGAAGCGGAGGCCAGCCAGGAGGTGCTGTGCCGCAGTCAGGCTGGGAGGTGGTGGCTCGGACTGAGGTGGGAGGGGTAGAGAAGACACTGGTGTCAAGATATATTTTGGAGGTAGGCTTGGATATAGTATTTGTGAATTCATTGACTTTGAGGACCCTCCAGGCGGGCTGCACATACAGTGGTGAGGGAGGTTTCCCACACGGGTCCCAGCAGTTTAGAGGTGGCAGTAGAGATCCATACACACCGAGCTCAGAGTCCTGTCCCCCAGCAGGGCCTCCGCACGGGCAGTAGTGCCTTCTTCTGAAGGGCTAGAAGCAGTCCCATCCTTTCACGCCAGCTTGGGTATCTAGGTAAATGGTGTTACCACTGACAAATGGGGTCACTGGGTCTTACAGGGAGGGGGGGGATTAAGTTTGGGTTAAGTTTCAGATGACTCCACGGTGCCCAAGTAGAGATTTCAGATTGGTAGTCAGTTGCCTAACACTGATCTACTCACTAGCATTGTTTTTCCAATAATGTATCTAAATGCTTTCGCAATTTTACTCAATATAATCATTATTTACAAACAACGGCAATTTTATTAATTCCTCTCCAATCTGTGTGTGCGTGCATGTGTGTGTTGCCTACTGCACTCAGAACAAGGTTGAATATAAGGGGTGATAGTTATCATCCTTGCCTCAGCCCAGATCTCAAAAATAAAGCTTTTAATGTATCTCCATCAAGTATAATGGCCAATTGCTGATTGTTTCTTTGTAGAGACTCTTATCAGATTAATGAACTTTCTTTCTACTACTAGTAAGATTTTTTTTTTTATACAAAAAAGTGATGTTAATTTTTATCACATGCTTTTTCTGCACCTACGAAGATAATCAGGTTTTCTCGCACAAATTTCCTTTCTTTCTTGTAATTTTCATTTCTCATAACACCCTTGATTTGGGAGACAGGTTTATGCTGGCCTCATGAGATAAATGGCTCACTTTGTATTCTCTGGAACAATTTGTGTCAGAACAGAGCCATCTCTTCCTTGAATCCTTGATAGAGTTCCCTGGTGAACTTAACTCAATCTTGACTTTTCTTCTTTGTGGAAAGGATTTTGAATATAAATTGATTTTCTGTAATAGTTATAAAACTATTCAGATTTTTCTGCTTTCTCTTTTCCTTACTTTTAATAAATTATGTTTTCCTATTAGTCTATTCCATCTAGACTTTCAAGTTTATTAACAAAGTTGTTCATAATAACAATAGTAATGATAGTCTATTATTATGTCTTTAAAGTCTGCATTTGTTAAATGTCTTCTCCATATTCTTCTTGGCCAGTCTAGTCAAAGGCTTACCCCAAAAAACAGCTTTGGGGAGTGATAGCTAATGGCACAGGGTGTGTTTTTGGGGTTGACAAAAATGTCCTGAAATTAATTATTGATGATGGTTGTACAACTCTATGAATATACTAAAAACCACTGAACCATACATGTTAAAAGGATGAATTTTATGCATGTGAATTATATCTTAAAAGTTATTATTTAAATATATATAAACAAAATAACCTTACTTGTATAACCAGTATGAGTACCAGTGAAGTTTATATTTGCCTACATCAAGGCTTCCAGTAATATTGCTTGTCTCTGTTTCTGCACACTATAACTTTCTGTACATCACATAGTTGTTGAAAAACTAACCACATTAATAATGTTGCTGGGAAGGTAAGAATCACTAATATATGACTTCTTTAAGACCTTCTAATTTTATAGAACCAGAAGCATGGGTACATGGAACAGGCAGAGGGGATGTATGGCAGGGACTGGATGAAAGAAGGTGAAGACAGTTGCCAAAGAACATGTATACGTAGCCCATGGACACAGACAACAGAGTGGTGAAGGCCAGGGAAGGGGGTGGAGATTGGATGGAGGGGGCAAAGGTGGGGGTAATGGGGCACATATGAAATAGTGTCAACAATAAATTAAAAAACTTCTGTCCTGGTCGGTTTGGCTCAGCGGTTAGAGCGTCAGCCTGCGGTCCAGAGAGACCCAGGTTCGGTTCCCGCTAAGGGCACATACCTCGGCTGCAGTTTGTCCCGGGCCCTGGTTGGTTGTGCGGGTGGCAGCCACTCGATGTGTCCCTTTCACGTCGATGATTCTCTCTCTCTCTCTCTCTCTTCCTCTCTCTCCCTCCCACTCTATCTGAACAAAAAAAATGGAAAAATGTCCTCAGGTGAGGATTAAATAAATAAATAAATAATAAATAAACTTCTAATTTTAAATAATAATTAATAATTTCCAGAGCACACTGGTACATACTCTATCCATAGAGACCAAACCAATCTAAGGAAAGTAGGTCACAAAACACAGTCCAATCCAAACTGGGCACTAGACGATGCAATGTGGCTTTTCCTTAACATAATCGTGATGTTCGAGTCATTCTATGACTCTGACCTTCCAGTCAGTGGGTAGTCTATTATTACTTGGTAGCTGCTGAATCCAGAGTCAACATTTTGGAAGCTAAAGAATGACTATCTTCTTTCAAACTCTTTTGGCTTACTGAAAGCTAAGCCCAGCTAAAAACTCTTGCCAGTGTTTGGTTATTTTATGCATATGAACTAAACAACAAACAGAATACAATGAACAGAGAAAGGAAAACTAGAGAACACATTTATTTTCTTGCATATTAAATATATTAAAAATACATTAAATAAATTAAAACATTTAAAAATAAATGACCATAAAGCACATATAGTCTTAAGAAATGATAAATCAGATTTTCCTGTTTCTCGAAGTATGTTTCTTTCTTTACTATAGATAAAATTTATTTTGTCTTATTTTATTGTTTATTGAATTTATTGGAGTGACCTTGGTTAATAAAATTATATAGGTTTCAAGTATACAATTCTATAAGATATCATATGTATATTGCATTGTGTGTTCACCATCCCAAGTCAAGTTATAGATAAAAAGTTTTAATCAAATCAGAAAATTTTTAATTTAAAAATTCAAATTACAGAACATCTGTGCTATCTACAGGCTACCAAGAAGATAATGTTCCCTGCTTCTCCAAGATGAATAACCCATACATTTAAAAAGGAAAAGAAAAAAGTGTCCATGGTTCTAAGTCAATACTTTTTGTAAATGTCTATGTGTGTCCTTTTCTGTTTGGTCTTTTTTGTTGGGGGCAGGGATCAGGCATAAGAATACAAGTAAACATAGTTTCCTTTCTAACAGAAGCAATTATTCATTTATATTAGAAATATATGGAGTGTTCAAATTATTTTTTATAAATTGTCAGTTTTCATAACAGTTATCACCTTTCTATCACATCCAAACTTTCTCTCTTAACAAAAAAATTCTAGAAACATAAAATCCCAAGAGACTGTTAGAGGTGTATACATAAGAACCTTTAAGAAGGATAATTTGAAGCCTTGACTCTTAACTCTAAACTAATATAATTGCCTCTTTACTAAGGCACATGTTGCTTCTAAATAGTGATTTATTTGCTACAGTAATACTTTGCCTCTTTTGAAACCTAGACACACGACTCTAAAATGGTCTCCAAGGACTCCGGGTCCTTAGCAATGTAACACCCTGCCTGTGAGAATGACAAGAAAGGCAAATGACTTAAGTGCAGGTGCATATCGAGGAATGGAAACCAAATGACAAATATAAGTTTAGATTCATTAATTCTTGGTCTTTAAATAATCTTTGTTGTGAGGGGTTAAAATACTGTGAGAAAATGGAAGTGTGAAAAATGGTTTATTAAATATTCATTCTTGAACCTGAAAGCATCTATGTCTTCATGAATTTAATGATGCATAAAAACTTAAAAATCATACCCAAAAGAAAATCCTTGTGACTCAGATAACAGATAAAGGATTTATATATCCTTTTTAATAAAGAATTACTACAAATTAGTAAGGAAACATGAACAAATCAATAGGATAATGAGTTTTGGGTATAAACTGGCAATTCACCAAAGAAATACGAATACATAAACATATGAAAGAATGCTAAAGTTCACCAACTAAAACATCTAAGTTAAAATAAATGTGATATATGCTCAGCAAGCATGGCTCAGTGGATTGAAAGTCATCCCATGGACTGAAAGTTTCAATTCCCGATCAGGGCACATGCCCAGGTTTCGGGCTTGATCCCCAGTAGGGGGCATGCAGGAAGCAGGTGATGGATGTTTCTCATGGCGATGTTTCTATCTCTCTCTCCCTTCCTCTCTCTCTCAAAAATCAATAAAAACATATTAAAAATAAATAAACAAATAAATGTGATATTTATTCTAATCAGATTAGACAAATTGAAAAGGTTATCAACAACTGATGAATAGGTGTGGCATGTAGAGAAATGAGCTCTCTATTAAATTGTTGGTGGACATAAACATCTGTGCAAACTTTTGGAGAGTAATGTCATTTTCCCTGTTAAAATCGGAAAAGTACATATCCGATTACCTAGTAATCCCACTTCTAGTAATCCATCCCATAGACACAGTTACATTAGGAAATAAAAATAAAATAGAGGATGGTTATTATAACATTGTTAGTAACAGCAAAAGTTTAGGAACAATTTAAGTATCTACTGACAAGTGCATAGCTAAATGAGTGAAGGTGTAGGTATAAAGCCACGCGGCCATTCGAGAAGGTGTGCTGACAGGAATCCTGACACAGGGCAGTGTCCTTTGTCCTAACCGTATAGTGAATGGATAGCTATGCATATGCTTATTAACATACATTATTGTACATGTTCTTACATGCTTCTGAATTTTCACAAAAAAATGTAAAGGAAAGAATAAGGATAAATCTGTACAGATTAATCTAGTAAAATGTACATAATATATTAAGAAAGAAAACATAATTGACTATACAAGACCATTGTGAATAGCCTAATCCCAATTTTATGGGGGGGAAAAGTACTGTGTGTATACACACGTGGACATGTCACTGTGCTTTTACAGTATATGAAGAACCAAGAAGGACAGGGAGCAACCTCTGGAGAATGGGACCATAAGGAGCTGATGGGAGGAACGGAGTGGTGTTGGAGAGATTTCAGACCTTTTCTAAAGTCTAGTTTTGTTATATAAGGAAGGGTTGAAATAAGTGTCATGGGATATATAAACAATATATAATCATTCAAAGAAGATAGAAAGTGCTGGGATATGAAATAATTGCAGGAATTTTTTATGGCTAACGAGGAACCCAAACTGAGTGAATGAATCAAGGAGTCATAAAAAAGGTGCTTTACTTTTGTTTTTAACAGATTAAATGAATATAATTATCTTAACCTACTCAG